GCGACGGAGCTCGTTTCTCAGGTGCCATCCTCTTTGTGTCACCATATTGGATACTTTTGTCACAAAAAATGTTTGTAGAAAAGGAAATATACCTATAGTAAGACGGTAAAAACAAGTAAGACGAAGAAGAAGGAACATCTGATACAAGTCAGACCGTTTATTAGAAAAAGGCTTGATGTATCGCTAAAATAAAAGAAGCTGAATGATTGAAAATGTAGGTATAACGCTATAGCCTTCGCTCTTTATACACATTAAGTATTCACGAATGAGATTTTATTTGGAGGAAAATACTCTTTAATGGTCGAATGTTTTACCCAAACATTTGGAAGCTTCTTTTAAATAAGTTCTGAAGAAAACTGAATTCTAAGGTTTGAGCCAACTTGAATCATCTCTCCACCCTTTTCTCGTTCTTACCATCACCTTCAAAATCCTTTTCCGGCTTCCTCTTCAACATTCTTTCTTGCTTTCTAACGGTATTTTCCCGCACACTCTCACTTACTCTCGTTCGCTTTTTAAGTTCCTCCCTGATCATTCATAAAACATGAGTCTCCATCGGATACTACTCTATAAATTTTCAAGTAGCCCTAATATATCCGACGTTATTCTAACTCTTTTTTTAAAAGGAGTCTCTTTTTCTTTCTTTTACTAGTAATCGGTGAAAAAAATCTAAAGATCAAAATCCGCACATTAAATTAATTAAAATTTTAATTTCCGCTTAATCTTCTCATTTTTTTTTCTTTCTCTCTCTTTTTTCACAAAGTTTGTATTAAAGATTGTCATAGGTTCATATTCTGAAAAGTTTGTAAAGTAATGCTAAGCGTATTAACGTTATCCCAAGCTTCGAGAGGTTACTGCGACGTCTTTGCTGTGACTCTTTGTCCGTTGGCCCAAAAGAGTTGTTCCCTCGAGCAATAATAAAAGTTTCTCGAAGTGCAGAAAACCGAGGCAGTGTTCCAAAGCTCAGAAATACTCAGGAAACGCGCGAAGCCGACGAAAATACTCCAAAGCGAAAGTATATACTGACTTGGTTCCTTGCATTTATTACAATGTGATGAGTCCAAGTAGAAAAGCCATATGAATAGTCAGGCATTTGAGATATCACTAAGTTCTCTTGCCTGAGGCTTCTGCAATACAGATTCTGCGATCTTCAGGTCAGTGACCAACATCACAAGAAAAGTCTAACACAATGAAAATATAAAGTAATACCAAAATGTATAAGATGTACTACTAGAATAAAAAAATCATCAATTATGCCTAGGTTAGACTGCGAGCGTCTATTATGCCGGGCTCAAGAGGTTGCGGAATATTATTCAGAGCATTAGGCGTGCTCTCAACCACGAAGAATTTCCATAAAACCGCTATCTTCACATCTAAGACGCCTCCAACACTACCTGATTCTATGTTACATCAGTACGTGGAAATTCCAAGAGTACTTCTCTCCTCTTCACTCAAGACTCTGACTGCATTTCTTGAATAATACGTTTGCCGTGATGTTGACTTTTGACATAACCGCCCATTCCAACTAACAGAGTAAACGTAAAATCATTTTAATGAAAAGCTCCGAGTTCTAGTTTAATGGAATCTTTCGTTATTCATTATTTATTAGATGTTTGAGATTAAAATCATAAAAAAAAATTCTTTTTTTATGACCTTTTTTTCTTCCAACGTATCTCGAAAACTACGTGATGTTTCACTACGTTCAATAGAAAATAAACAATTTTTGATTAAATAAATTAAAAACTTTATACATACAATTATTCAATTATTTTATTCTATCATATTTTCCCAATTTAATTTACGATGTCTACTTTTACATATGCATTCCTCATTACACCGAATACAATTGTAGCTGTGGAAACGTTCGAGTTAGTAACAAATTGGTGAACTTGCCAGCGAGAGTAAATTGGCTTGGTATAGAAACTCTTCGTTGCGAATTTACTCTAGTATATGAGTAGTCCAGAGGACATGAAACAACTAAGTGTCAACACCATGTTATCCCCTGACAAAGTGTTCGTTTGAAAAATTATGGTGTGTATATAATGTATAACCAAAATTAACAAAAAAAAGTATTATGAATGAGAGGATTTACGCAGCCCATCAATGCATGAATCCACTAATCCGAATATTCTACTCCCATCATCATCGCCAATTCGATCTACTATTTCGATTCGTTGCTTTACACACATACGACACCACTGGTGAAGTCCCTCGTGCTTTCTCTTGTGACACAAGCAAATTGATGGAGGGTTTGTGACCTCTAGTATTCTCTATATATCCATATACACACATATATATATCTTTATACACATAACACACATGTGGATGAAACAGAAAGAGAGAAAAAGAAAAAGAAGAAAACAAAGTTGAAAAAAAAACACGATTTATCCCTTGGGCATTCAAAAGGTTGGTTCCGATTTTACAGAGAATATTTTTGCAGCTTTTTTAACGTTTCTAAAACTGTTTTCACTTTTATAAGCTTTCGATTTACGCTTTAACTTTCATCAGTATTCGTTTTTTTTAACAATGTTTTTAAGATGAAAAATTGAAGTTAGGAAATTAAAATGATGGATTTTTTTACTTTCAACTTAAATTGAGATAATATAAATGTAGAGTTTCTTACCCTCTAAGTCTTTTTATCTTCCTATCCTTATGTTCACTATAGCCTCCCTACCCTTTTTTCGTTCATGTCTCGGCACCCGAGTCTTTGAGATACCAGCTTCTAAAAGGAAATTCGGAAAAAAATGTCTCCCGAGGGGTGTTATGTATAGGTCGGTACAATTAGGGTAGAATGAGATGCTCGTGAAAGCGTTGAATTTCCTAAGTGTAGTGAAATAGAATACGAAAGGAAAAATAAAATTTAGAAAATTGTACTTATTCGTTAGAAGAGCTTTTGTTTTGGCAAAAAAAATGTATTCAACACCTTTACGAAATAACCAACATTTTTATTGGCCTATCTTTATAAATAGAATCACTTCTTTGCATCCACTTACAACAAATTTACTCAAAAATTATTCATTTTCATGAAATTTTACTATAAATAATTTTAAATTAACTTTTTTATAAATCATTTTATTTAAAAATAAAGTACATATTGCTATAACTTTTATATTTATAAAAATATATAATTCATAATCATTGCTATAAAATTGGAAATAAAACTAAGCAAAAAAAATATCTATTGCACATAACATCGACATATAAAACTCGTATGATTAAAAAATAAGCAAAACACTTGTCTGATCTCTCGTCAACAAACTCAGGATATTTTCAAACTCATGCATAAAATTCCTCCAACTCGTGCAAAAATCCCGACTCGACTGTAACTTAGAATTCACTGCTTTAGATTCTCGTCAGAAGCACAAACATTTGCTGGGAAAAAAAAGTTAAATTGGGAAATATAAAATTTTATAGCGGTATTTTAGTTGGAATATATTAGCGAGAAAAATATCGTGGAAATATCGATAAACGCTAGATTAAATTCATCCTGACAGAAGAACAAAAGTTTAAAATTTAAACCAAACAATGATTATACTTCAGTATTAATTTTACGAATTTATTATGAAAATAAAAAAAGACCTTGCTTGTTGACAACACGTTTATATTGTTCATCGACTCGAGCTTTTGTTATCGGTAGCTGTTCCACTCTACAGCCATCCAAAGGGGCTTGCTCAGCTGATGATGTACGAGCCGACACGCACACCGTTGAGCCCTTTTTTCTCTCCTCGTTATACCCAAAACTTCGAACGCCAACTTCCATAATAATTCTTTCTCGAATATCATTATTATAGAGGACTTTCGTTAACACCCTCCATCAACTATCCTACCATTTTTCTTGCATTATAAAAATCATCCTTTATTTTACCTTCCACTTTCCAATCTCCTTTTTCTAAATTCTCTACCAAACAATTTACTCTACAGACTTATTCATTTAAACCCGAATAAATCTCTACAATGTTGACTATACTTCTCAAATTCTGCGATACTTGCGAGATAAAAATCGTATAAAATAAGAAATATCACTGAAGTCTTTGTCTTAAGAAGACATTGGACGTACTTACATGTAAACAAAACAAGAGGTGTCAGAGCGTCATGTAGTGACTGAAGTTTAATACCAACTTGTCTGAAACATGGCAGAATTGTGCTAGATATCAAATAAAGAAATGCCACAGGCACTTCAAAAAACAAACAAGCTAGCAAATGCAATAAAGCTGCATAAGACATTCAGGAAAGAAACTTCTAAATTCATTTATCACAATTTTCAATAACAACACTAACAATACTATCAATTTATTAACATTATTGATTATTATTATTATTACTTTATACTTATTATTAAATTCTCAATTAAACAATTAATTGATCATATTTAATCAAATGATTCTATTAATACAGTTTGTTTTTGTGATTATTTCATTCATCAATATTGGGAAAACTGGTTTATTCGTTTACAAATTCCAAGTTTTTTATATTTTCAAATATTTTTTTAATTATCGAAATTCAATTATTTAATACGAAAAAATATTCTTTTTATCTAAATTGAATTAGGTATACCAAATTTCCTATCACTCGTATAGTTCTTTAAAAATTTAATTTTCTATATCCATTATGATGTAACAAGCCTAATTTGAAAACTTGATAGTCACCAGTTAAACAATTATTAATAATAACAGTAGATAAAATAAATAGATTGTGATAATAAGAAAATAATCTTTACCCCTTATGATCAACCAAAATGTGATATACCGTACGCAGCTAATGCATCAGTTTGTAGATAAAACAGCTAGAGTTTTTGTCGAAGGTTATACAATTTTACTGAAATTTATACTTATGATTAATTACAATAAACCCTTAAAATGTAGTGTATATTACATGAAATTTAAAACATCATTAAACTTGTGTTCAGTAATTTCATTCTCAAGTTATTAAAATTTTGATTGAATATTGATTTATATCTGAAGTAAAAAATGTCACCATGTGCATTTTTGTGCTCAAAATTAAGAAAAAATTTAAATTTCGAAAAAATTGTATTATGGAAAAATGCTTGTGATATTAGCTATTATTGCTAAAAAATTTGGATTTGATTATTACTCTTTTCTATTTAAACAAATTAACAAGGTAATTTGATTCAATTTTTTAATTAAAAATACACAAAATAATGATGGCAATGGCAATGAAATCAATGTCTTATTTTTCAGATTGAAAATGCCTCGAAATTATAAAAGAAAAACAAACAGACAAAGTTGGTCAGAAGAAAGCATGAAAAATGCAATAATAGATGTAACCAGTGGAAAATGTGGTTTCAAAAAAGCATCACAAGTCTATGGAGTTCCAAAATCCACATTAGAATATCGTATAAAAATTTATCGAAATGAAAAAGATTTAGAAGTTGCAGCTCGAAAAGGTTTAGGTAGATTTAAATCAGTTTTCAGTCTCGAAAACGAAAAATTAATTATTGAATATATTAAATTATTAGAGCAACGATTATTTAGTTTAAGTCATAGAGATATAAGAAGTTTGGCTTACGAAATGGCTGATAAATATAATTTACAAAATAACTTCAATGAAGAAACTAAATTAGCAGGAAAGGATTGGCTTCATAACTTTCTTAATCGTCACAATGACCTGTGTTTGGATAAAAAACCTCTTTTAGATTTTTATGATATTTTAGAAAGACTAATTGATCAAAATTCTATTACTGCTTCGCGAATATATAATGTTGGTGAAGTGAGCATTACCACAGCTGCTACACGTCAATCACAAATTTTAACAACCAAAAATACAAAACAAATACGAAATTTCAATCTTGTTGATGAAGAACAAGTAACAACAATATTGTGTTTTTCATCTACAGGATACTACGTACCACCGCTCTTTATATTTCCAAGAGTTCAGATGAAAGCAGAACTTTTAGTAGGTTTTCCTCCTGACTCTGTAGTTGTTTGTCATCCAACTGGTCTAATTCAAAGTGAAATATTTGTTGAATGGCTCCAACATTTTATTTCTCAAGTTCATCCCTCCAAAGAGCAACCAGTTTTGTTATTGTTAAATGGTCATACAAATTATTCCAAAAGTTTTCAATTCCTCGAACTTGCTAAGAACAATGGTATAATACTGCTCTCATTTCCTTTGGATTTTATACATACAATGCAACCACTGTACGTTAGTTTTGTAGCTCCTTTAAATTCATATTACACTGAAGAAGTTACGACATGGTTGAATAATCATCCTGAGTGTGTTGTCACACAATATCAAATAGCAGAACTTTTCGGCAACGCTTATCTAAAAGCTGCATCTTTATTCAATGCAATGATAGGATTTAAAAATACTGGAATCCAACCACTAAATCGATATACTTTATATAAAAATGATTATGCACCTTCTGAAATGACTAAATGGCTTTTAGACCAAGCAGAAAGAAATTTGTCGTTAGTTAAAACAGAAAATGACAAAGTATCATTTTGTGATCTTACTCAGTGTTAGTGATAGTTTGAGAAAATTCTCTTAATTAATTTGGAATCTGAATTATTATTACTTTAAAAAATAAACTTATTCATTTGGAATTATAATTTTGTAATTATATAAAGTATATAAAACTAATGCCAGAATGAAGATAGAATTATTGATTTATGAATAACTATTAATTCTTGCCATTCATAAATTTGATTTTCTTAATACAATTAGCCAGTTTTATTTCATCCATACCAAATAATATTACAGATGAATAGAACTAAAATTGTAAATGAAGATTGTATATAAAAAAAAATGTAATTCATAATTATGAACAATTTTGATAAAGTAAAAATTCAATTTGTAATATAATTCAGCATTATAATTTTTTTAGCTTAATTTAAATGCTTATTAAGAATACAACTGATTAAATATAAAATTCATAATTTTTAGAAATATTCATCTAGACGTGATTTTTAAAAATATTTTCCAGTCATAACAGTATTACGATGGATAAAATAATGAACAATATTATCATTTTATATCAATTCTTTATTTTTCCATACAAATTATAAACATGTTTTCTTCAAATACTGTACATATACTGAATTTTATTATATTTTTAAACCTCTAATTTAATGATATATCATTTTATTTATTTTCATTTACTCATAAAATCATCTACTTTGATCCTCATGTCGATCTATTTATGATAGGAATAATATACAAGTAGGCTTCATCAATTTTTACGCTCAATCATTTCCTTATGGACAAGCTCAATTCTTTGATATGGCAGTTCCAGAATATAAAAAAATATCAAATTATATTTTACTTTGATAGCAATTTTTAAAAATAAACAATAAGTAATTATGAAAATTCACCTGACATAAAACTCAATTATTCGAATTAATTAATTGTTCAATAAATTGTCCAATTAATTATTCACTATCTTATCAAACATAATTCTTATTAATGCACTCTTATAAAATTGTATACAATTAAAAAATAACGAACAATTGGATATCCTTTCACAATATATTTTATAGCTCATTCTCAAACATTTTTGCAATCAAAGCAGTTTACTATCACCTAATTATTAAAAAAAATAATAAAAATAAAAATTTTCGATGTATAATTTCAATTATAATTCTTTTATTCATCTGCCTCTCACGAAACTGAATGTATCACAATAAAAATATAGTTAATTCGAGTTGAATTTTTTTCACAATGTTTTTTTTCTGAATGACCACACTGGAACTTGAATAATTTTTTTATAATAATTATTTTTGTTTACTATATACAAAATTTTTAACAGATCTGACTGTATGAATAATTATTTGATGTGTTCCACAATACGAGCAGTTATTTTTTATTTCAAATTGTCTCTGCAACTACATCTGTCAATATCGGTTTTTTTCCAGGGTTTTAATGAATATTCAATTTCAATATCATCAATATAGAGTGAGAGAGTACTATTTGCTATCTTCGCAGAAGACATAGATAAATATATTTTTCATAATCTTTTTTCTTATACATGTAACTTTACTTATCATTTAATTAATGTTTAATAATATTCGTGTCGGTGCTCATTTTTTATAATTTATGTACTTCTTTTTTTATTATAATTAAGATTATCATTGTCATTATTAATAATAATTATTATTATTAATGTTATAATTAATATTATTATTACTTTTTGTAGCTAAAAACAATTTTGACTTGTCATTAATGTAAATATTACATTTATTTTACTTTTATCGCACGGATTGCTCTTAATTATTCTGTTATCACCAGAAATACTAATGAGAACTTTTATTTTTTCTCATGCCAACCTTTTATTTTTCAGTTTTATGTAAGAACTATTTGTTAGTATGAATAAAATTAATATAATTTATTAAGCTCTCAATAGTAGACTGGTAATTATTCATTTTTTATATAATTTTATTATCGATTATACTATCTGGCAGCAAAAATGAACTGCATAAACCAGCAAAATAAAAAAAAATAACTAAGAAGTACGAAAGCTGCCAATTTTATTTATTTAATGGCAAATTCAATTCTATTAACCAATACAACTTCTTTTTTATTCTAGAAAATCATTAAAATAATTTTCTTTACATTTAGAATAAAAAAGAATACGCTTTTGTCTAAAAAGAGATCAAAATTCATTGCCACTTGTTTCATAAAAATTAGTTATAGTAATGATACGGTAAATAATCTTACTGTGATCATCAATTCTTTCTCATTGTTTAGTAATTACTTTATGTTTTTATAATGCTCAATTAATAGACAAGCTCCTAAGTGAAAGTTATTTTTAAAATCTGATATAATTGGGATGAACAGACGAGTTTTTTCAAACAAAGTTGTCCTCTACGAGATATGCAAAAAACTAATGATTTCAATCGAATAGAAGGGATTATAGCCTCGTATGTATTGTGCAAAAATTAATCATAATCTTCAAAGATGCATGGTCCCCCTGTAAATATTGAACCACCATTGAATCGAGGGTCATTTTAAGTACGAAACTCAATAGAGGCTTTATTCCCTTTATAAATATTATCAAACTAACTGATAACTAAATCAAATTTATTTCTATAAAATTTCATCAGCGTCAGGTGGATATTTTATTGATTATTTCCAAAAAAAAATGTCATATTGCTCTTTTCATTTATAAATTGGAACAAAAATCAATTCTGTATACGGGAAATTGTTGTTTTAATAAAAATATATTTAAAATACTTAAGTTATTTATTATTGGAGCTTGATGGCTTGCCTTGGGCAATCGAAAAAATTTGATAATGTGATATTCAATAGTTTTTAAATGTATTCGATAAAAACATAAAAACAAACGGTACTCTATATAAGAAATTCAGCCACATAATCAAACTATAGAAAACGGAGTCTTACAGTACAAAATAAAGTGATTATAAGAATTACAAACACATCTTTATATCATAAAATATTGCTGCCACATACTGGGTGGGATTTCACAAAAAAAAATATATTAAATGTAACTCATGAACAATAGCTAATTACGAATAAGTAAATATCAACTCTTTTCATTAGTTTTGATAACAATTATAATTTTTTCATCGAACTATTTCTATATAAAAATTAAGAAAAGTTATTTTATCTTGATTTTTCATCTGTAGTAAAGCAATAATTAAAAACAAAAAATTTGATAATTTGCAATGGCTTTTTAAACTTTCATTTGAGTTGAAACCAAAACTTGTTTAGAAATCTTTATTTACGATTGTAATTTTATATTCAATAATGTAAACTTTAATGATTGCGTTAATTTTAATTTGACATGTATGATTCTGTCCGCAACATATTTTCTTATATTTTTGAGTGTATTCATGTCAAAAAAACAATGAAAAATTCCTTCTGATTATTATAAATCATAATACTATTGTATAGTAATAGATGTTTTTTAATTTCTATACTGAATCAACCCAAAATCACAATACATGCCGATTTGGATCATATATATCTCTATCAAGTATATATACTTTAATTACTCAGTGATTTTGTTGAATACTTATTGGCATTGTTTTCATTAATTTTTAATTATTGTCAATTTCAACATTTACACTCGATTTATGTGGTCAAATGTTCATGTTATTTTTTATATCTATCTAATGAAAAAAACGGCCTTTTACTTCGTTTTTTCAAAATTCTTAATTAATAATTTATTTTTAATACTTATTGATAACATTGAACAACAAAGAAGTTTGCTGTAATATTTTCTATTAACATTTATGAAGCATTTATTAAATTTTATTTTCGAATACTTATATTTTAAAAAATGCTACTAAAAATTATTACTGATTCCTTATTCGTTATTAACAATAAAATTATAATTTTGCGCTAAAAAATAAAATTGGTCATTAATATTAGTTACTTTCTTAGAACAAATTTTCTGAATGAAACTTTTCTGTCGTTCAATGTCCCTATAGATTTGGGTTGATCAGTAAAAAGTTTATAATTTTGCGTGCATCATTTTTTTAAAATAATATTGTTTCCTGGACAAAGCTCTAATAATCATTTTCAAATAATATAAATATATCTTGCAATGTGTGACGACTGTAATTCATCTGAGATCACAGCTTATAAACGAATTCATAAGTATTAAAATACGTCGTCACCAAAGCAAAAATGATTTTGATATTTTACCAAGTACACAATAAATCTGTCTGAATAATTTGTAATGTACACTAATATATTTATGATTAATATAATATATTTTGAGTCATTATCGTCAGTGTGTAATTGTCATAATTATAATTATATTTCTTAATAATTCTTAATAATCCTTATCGTTATGTGTTGTCGCGTAAGAGTGCGAACTTATAAGCGCACGCACTTTGCGCATTATGTAATGGATGATTTAATGTGGTGGTAGGCACTGATGGGGGTGGATGGCTGCATGGCGAGCAGATTTTTAAACAGGCTAGTCTTTGACTAATCTGTATATATGATGCTGAGCACCATGTTCGGACGTCGATACTTCGAAGACATAAGCTGTACATAACAACGTCTCTTGCGTATCTCTATTTGTGACAATCTAAAAATCACCATGTTAGTCATTAGTAATAAGTAGTTAATAAATTCTAACTAGTTTTATTCACATACTATAATTTATTCCTTAACCACTTAATATTTTCAATGTTTTATTAACTTTAGAATAAATTATTCTAATTAAATCTTTAATTATCGAAACTATCATTTTTTTCCTGACTATTGGAAGTCACTTGTACTTTAATGTAAAACTTTTTCAGTTATCTCATAGTTTCTAATCATAAAATTCAGAAATACTAGTTAAATAGAGTGATAGAATTTTACTCAAACATTTTCTGGATAACTGACATATGTAATCCTAATTAGTGGTTAAGAATTAAAGGATATTAATTTATATTATTCATTATCAATTTATTAGCATTAGCATTAATTAAGGTATTTACCTGGAGGATTGTGAAGTTTTCGAGAACACTGTTCATCATATATTTTTCTGGCAGGTGTTTGAGTTTGTGAATAAAGTTTATCATGTACTCGCACATAGGCGAACGACTGATACGATAAACAAACCTACCGTTCTCGAACCTTGCATATTCAGTCTCCACCTTCTCTACCACTTGCTTTCCGAATGAACAAACTTTTGTCGAACACGTTATCGTCATGTTCTCATTGCTTTCATATCTGCAATTATTTGATTTAATTTATTATATCGTAAATAAATGACAATGGTGCTATTGAAGATTGGTCAATAAATAAAAAATAAAGCTAATGAAACTTACTGGCTTGTAACACCGTAAAAAGCGCCTGCTTCATCTTGTATGTTGGTATTGAGATCTGCCCAGAATTTAACTAAAAAGAAAGCCGCTTGTGGTCCCTTGTCATAGAGTTCCTTGAGACCTCCTTTTTTCTCTGGGAATTTGTCGTATATCTGCCTGACGTCTACAGCTTCCAGTAAGGGATCTGCATAAGTCGCTGATCCTCCTATGTGGACGAAAAGGTGTTTTTGGTACTGTGAAATAGGATAAAAATATGTAAACAAGCAAATATTTAATTCAATGTTATTTAGAATAGTTCAAGTGACAATAATGAAATTTTTATTCCAGAAATATTAAAACTCACTTACATAAAATAAATACCAAACTATGTGAAAATTCTATAATTTCAAATTTAAACTACCTAAACTTTGATGAAAATTGATCAAGTGACAGTGTTACGTCCTGACCTAATAAATTTATTATTGTAGAAATTTGTAAAAATAAACATATTAATTAATTGAACTTTCCAAGATTGTATTGATCTTTTTCTTGCTATCTATGTTAATGTAAAATATATTTTTAATGTTAGATTTTCTCTTCAAAAGTTAGTTGACTCACAATTTCCTGGTCTCGGTGTTGTTCCATATACGCCGAGAACTCAACAAGTCTAAGTTTATGAGTAGCAATGGCTCGTCCTTCCCAGGGTGGTGGTGGTTGGGCTTGAACCATGTCACTACTGGAGACAGCAGTCGCTGGTTTTCCTGGGTATGCTGGTTGATGAAAAGGTTTAACATCTTGAGATGTTCCTGGCTGTATTCCTGGCTGCCAAAAGTTCTGAAAAATATCAAAACCACATTAAAAAAAGGGATATTTTCATAAATTGGGCTTACCTACTAATAAATGAACGACAAATAAAATTTAGTAGATGTTTATTCTATATTAACATTTTTTTATATAAAATAATTATGATAAATTCTCTTTTAAAATTACAATGATGAAAACAAACTGAAAATGTCTACAAAGCATACTTCTATCCCAACAAACAGAGTATTGATTCTTAAAAATAATGTTTCCATTTTTAATAAAAAATATGAAAATCCCTATTAATTGGTAATAATAAGTTTTTAATTAATAATAAAGAATTTTCCTTAATTATTTAGAACTATATTTTCAATTTTATAGTCATCATTGTAAATATTAAAAAAATAATTAGAAAAAGAGCTATTGTTACATATGAAACAAGTATTAAAAGCCACATCAATTCTTCAATATAAATGTTTGTTTTCATTGTATTAATTTATGTTTTAATATTTATAAGAATAAAAATCAACAATACACAACAAGAGCCTCCATAGGGCTAGTAATCAGGGTATTAGAATTTATCGAGGACGTGAAGAGTTAGTTTCAATTTTTTAAGAAATCATTCAATTAATGAAGTAGTGAACAAAACAGTAAATATAGATGTACTATCAAAACTTCATCAATAATGATTTTTTTTCAAAAACATAATAGTATTTTTGAATATTTAAGTAGATGAATTATTAATTATTAATGAAAAGCAAATTATTATAAAATTTATTTGAGTAATGATTGAAGACTATATACAGGACATGTAAAGTTTAATGACAAATACAAACATCAATTGAGATATTAAAGTTTTATTTAAAAGCAATTGAACAGCTAATATACTATACAGAAAGCTATTTCAGTTGAGATTATCAATCATTGTCTATCTAATGGGATTCACGATCTGGAACTTACCGCTCCAGGATAGGAAGGGTTGGAAGCGTGAAGGGCAAGGGTCCCCACAAGGGCAGGGGGCATCTTGTTGTGTATCGCACTCCCAGCTGATACTATCTGAGCACTCGACATGTTCGACATTGTCTGTAGAGTCTTCTCCTTCGTCGCATGATCCTAACAAATTTAAAGCCATTACTATCCTTGTTTATTATTTCTTGTATTACTCTTACTTTTATTTACTGCAAATTGTTATCTTGTTTAGATACTTTCTAATTGTTTATAATAATTCTTTGTTATATTTTCATTTAAGTGTTCTTCCAGAAATGTCTTATTCAATGCTTTTGCTTTTTTCTTTTTTTTATTCAAAAAGTTAAAACAAAATATCAAGTAAATAAATACATATTATTTTTGAAGGAACATGAAAAAATATTTGAAAAAATTGTTAATTTGGCTAAGTAAGTTTCAGAGTTTCAATTGGAGTACAAAATTTTATTTGCCATCACTATTGATAAATTTATGTTCGATAATTCGATCCTCCATTCTCTCATCAATCTAGCAACAACATGGAATAAGGTAAAGTACAGAAAGTAAGGAAGACAAACGTGGGCTGAAAGAGTGGGAGGCGATAATTCGATGCCTTGACTTATTCGTCTCTTTGTCTTCCCTTTGTTCCTGCTTTATCGTTTTTCATTTTCAAGCTGCACTGAACCAAGTCTCGTATTCTCCTATATATCGTTCTGAATCTTTTTTTTTTTCTCCATCTTCCTCGTCTGTTTTACTTTTCTCCAGCTCTCTCTACTCTCTACTCAGGGCACTCGGACTAACGTCCTGGAACACAGTGTATGTCTCGTCGTACTTCGCGTGGGACTCGATCATTCGTCAGCGTGAGTAATCGAGTGCTTTATCCTCGCGTCTCATCCCACCCTCCCACGACCATCATCCCCCTACATCACTTTCGCGCTTCTTATACTTTTTCTTGTATTTTTATTCGTATTAAATCTTATTTTTGTTTTTAGTTACAAATTATACTACATATGAATTACTTTTTGTCGAAAATATGAAACTCCAAAATAATATTTTTTTTGTTCGTAATACGTAAATAATACATGAATTATTTTTATAAAATTCTCATTATGAGATTCATCTATTTATTGAAATTTATTAATTTAAAAAATTATTATACTGAAGGATTACTTCAATAAATGAATATAAACAAAATTGATTATCATTAAAATGCTATGTTAATATGTTCAAAAAAAATTACGTTTATTGCAGTAAAATATTTTATTAACAAAAATAAAAGAATTAAATTGTTAAATTTTACTTTTGTTGAATGTGCGATGTGTTTTTTTTAAACATTTTTTCGTATCATCAGATAAATTTCACTGAATAAAACTCTCTCAACTAATATAAAATATGTAAAATATTCATTTACACTGAAAAACAAGTAATTTAATTTTTACAAAATACCATTATCTCGATGACAAACCCTTCATTTATATTTTACATTGAATTGTAGTATAACAACTATATTCGATGAGTCAATTTTTATATTGAAATTAAATATTCGACACATTTCATCTCTTTGTAATGGAGAGTAGATATTCATGTTGATGCAAAAAAATATAAAAAAAATTAAATAGTTTCGATCAAATGAAAACAAAAATTGCTATGTCCGCAATGTGTATGTGTTTCTTGTGAACGTGCATTGTTAAAATAAAATAAAATGAAAATAAAAAAAAAAAAAAAAAGAAAATAAATATACTTGTATACAATATACACATCTATATACACTTATCGATTCGTTTAATTGAGAGAGGTATGCGTATTTTTTCCTCCCTTTTTAACCAAAAACGTACGAGGAAGGTATGTCGAATATAGTGGCAAGGGAGTGAAGAGAGAGTGAAGTGACCATGCACTATGTTTATCGACATTCTCCAACATTTTTTCCATCCCCCGCAATATTCACATCCACTTTATCTTCCACTTTTGCGTTTTTTTTTATTTTTATTTTGTTATGAATTGCTGCAGTATTGCAGTACGATTCATCTGTATTGGCTGCATATATACATCATATATGTGAATTTTTGTCAAAACTTTAAAGGAAAATTTTTTTTTATTTTATTTAAAAACCTAGTGAAATAAAATTTCAGTCAAATTTTTTATTACTTTTTAACAGCTAGATAAATTCAACAAATTAAAAATGATGAAATACTTTATACAATTTTCCAATCATAAAATATATTTTCTGAACACTGCACTATTTAAAAAAAAAATTTCAATAACAATTATCAAAAATTCTATTCAATATTATCATCATTTCAATTGTTATCTTACATAATATAAAAATCACATTCATATCAATTGGACATTTTTTATTGAAAAAGTAATCAAATGATAAAACACTTTCTCAATCGTGAAATCAAATTTCATAGGGAATATTCTGAAAATCTAATCTCTATGAAGACTTCCGACCAACTTTTCCTATTAATACACCAATAAAAAGAAAATTTTTTCGATTTCATCATATCTACGGTTCAGTTTCAAATGTTAACCTATTGTAACTGTTTACAATAAACCGAAATGTCCTCTAAAACCTAAAAAGAAAAAACGTTAAAAGAGATAAAAGAGAAATGTAAAATTTAGTAGCGTTTTATCTTTAACATCAAACAAAATACGTAACTTTAAACACCCAAAAGGGGTGAAAGGAAAGAAATCAAAGGGTTACACCGGAAAAGGAAACCAGCAAATTACGTTACACCAGCTACAAATGCAAGCGACTAGGTTTGGGTGATGAATAACGTCCATGGCATGCGCTACTGCGGTAACAGAGGCGCTCGAACGGCCAAACGCGCACGACAACAACAAAAGCTTTAACCCAGTATTGAGGGTGGAAGTAAAGGACTGGTGTTGTTCTCTGTGAATTCACATATCCCATACCCTAATTTCTAAACCTTCAGTAAGTTGTTTTAACTAAGCAAACATGCATTGAAACATTTCCCTATAACACCCTGTCACACGATACTCCACTGGTGGACATAAAATGCCCTGTAGTTACTGATTTATTAAAACCACATACAATTGAATAAATCGTTTTAAATTTGTCTCTTGATTAGATTAATAAGTTCATTGTTGCAATTTATTTCTAGAAAATAAATGAATAAATAAATAAACAAAAGTGAAAAAATAATTTCAACATGATCGTCAATAAATACTGCCCACTCTCTTAAAATAAATGAGTTAAAATCACTGCTGATCAGTATTGTCCCTTGACGCTGATACCGTTAACCGGGACTACTTGGACTTTGTGGAGCTACTTTGACAGTTTTGATTATCTTGTAGTACACAAACTTCTTGGGCCCTTTGAATTGATCGAAGATATGTCTAAGGTAGGTCTTGAATCAAAGAATCTTCTTTCAATGTCAGTTGGCAAAAACCCCCAAAATCGCTAAACAAAATTGGTTGAAGAAGCCCCGGTTTACGGTAGTTATTAAAATACCAATTCACTTTAGAATACGATGATTAAGTTGAAAAGATAATTTTTCAATAAATAAACAATAAGTAATTGATAGTAATTTATGTGTAATGATGAAATGAAATTAATTTTACTATTTATGAAACAGTGAGTAAAAAAGAAGTGAAATTGATATTTAAATCATCAGTTTTACAACAAACTTACCACTTTGAGCTTAGCTTGAATTTCTCGGAGCTTTCTCCTGGCAAGGACTTGTATGTGTGAAGAAACCTGCTTCCGCGTCCTCGTTTTACCGGTTCGGAGCTTAATGTACCGAGCAATCAGCTCATTTCGACCTGGAATATAAATAAATTAAATTACTATCGACTACATTAATAATATACACGATAGATGGAATGAATTTAAGCTGGTTTTAACATGTAACTGTAGCTGTTATTAATGCAAGTTTATTCAATGGATTCGAGTTCACTGGACATCAATTTAATAATAGCCATGGACTGAAAGTGCTGAGAATCAATTTTAATTGACGCACAAAGTGTAATTATATTGGCGTGAGGCCATTTGCCTTAAGTCTTATACTGAGCAGTTATCTCTTCTTTTTTCCTCCCACAATTTATGCTATAGAATATATACTAGAATCAAGATCGAAATGAATAGACGTAGCAAGGTAGCCTAGAGGCTTTCTAGAGTGTTCGTTGAAAGATGAGAAAGCAAGTAAAGAGAAAGATGAGTACAGAAAATGTTGTCGTACATCACGTGGTAGGTCTAGCTCTGCCTCGGGGCCTTTAGCAGCCACTTTATTTATTTGCGTCATTCGCCCGGATGGAGGTACGATAAATTTACGATTTTAACGCCTCGGCAGACCTTCCAGTCACCGCTTAAATCAAAAATAAATAACTTGAGTATGAGGGTAAAGTGAACGGAAGCCATGGTATTCACGTGACAGAAGACATGCGCGAAAATCTACTCAATTTATTTATATTATTTTTTATAGGAATCTATTTTCGTTTGAAAACAAAAAAGCAAGTGCTTTAATCTACTCACAACTCATCGTCCACATTTTTAACATTATTCACATTAAAATTTGAATTGATGAAAAAATTTTTGTTGCCAATTTGTTGAAGGTAAATTAAATCTTGTTTTATTGATAATTAAATAAATTAATTGTCTGTTATTTAGATGAATAATGTGTTTGATATTATTGAAATTGAATATAATAAAATTTAATCAACAAAATATGTAAATATATTATGCTCTCAATAAAAACAGTATTATGCGAAAAATTAAATTGATATAATTGAAGAAACAACTAATCATTTGGATTTATTTATAAAAATAATAAAAATAAATCAGAAACAGAAGTATTTAAAAGAGCACACAGTATAATTGCAGTAACATCCAAGTAAAGAGTTATATAGGAGTATTGATAAATAGTAGACAAGCCAGATCGAGATGCATTAGTGAGAGTAGAAATATCTATTCTACACTCTACCCAGTGTCGAAGACCAGAACACTTATACTTTTCTAATGCTCTTTACTCGATTTCATGCCTGTCTGCGTTGATTATTTTCGCATTGTAACAAACTTTTGTCCTGTCTTGAAAAACGAATTGTTTGGTAGTCAAAGTGATTATTTATCGATCCGGAAATACGAGAAAGATAGAAATTGAAAACGTGAAATGATTGTCAAAATAAATTTATAGCAAAGTAACGAAGCTAATCAATTATTTATACTTTATCTGAGATTACATATTTGAAATTGAGTTTTTTGAAATCAAGTTTATTTTTGATGTGACACTTGAAAATTTTTCTTATTTTTGAAAAATATTAAATAAATTATAAAATGTTGATGGCAATAATAAAAAGAACGTTAATAAAAAAATATATATATAAAACTGTTCTTTTCAATTTTGATAGGAATCACGGTAAAAGGGTGCTCAATACTTGCCATAAAATTCACATAAATTTAATAGAATATCCAAGAATAGAAAAAGAAGGGAGTCAATCGATTTCATCCACTCGTGCTGTAGTAAATAGCATCCTACGTGACGACTTATCGCGGTTTACATTTCACAGCTGTTGAAATTTTATAGATATACAGTCATAAAAGATGAATAGAATTAAATAAGTGATAAAATCTTATAAATAAAATTATTTGTAACTACTTTTTAATAAAAAAAAAAGTAAGTTAAAATTTGTTCTAACAAATTGTCTGATTTGTTTTTTTTACAAACTACTTCATTAAATTTACTCACTCAGTCACTTATGAATATCAAGTGATTCACTGTCATTCTTTTCCATATGAAAGAAGGTATGAAATAAAAATTTATGTATATTCATTAAGTTGTAAAAAATAAATTTTGTTTCAGAATGAAATGAATAGAGGTAAAGTTTGATGATAATTTTGAAAGCAAATGTACTAGAGGTTCTAGAAAATGAATAAAATTCCGTGTAATTTTTAATTGATGTATCCAGCAAAAAATTACTTGCAAAGTACTAAAGGGTCTCTGCAATTAAATGAAACGTTTCTCTCGTGAAATTTAATATTTCCGCGAAAAGCATCCACCTACTTTTCCTTTGAAGACTCTCCAGAGACTTTACCCCGACACTCGTCAACTCCAACTTGTTTCCCCTTCTTTTCTCTTTTAGTCTCAGCCTCATTCCCACATCCACTCTCTTTCTCTCTTGTCAGAGCTCCTTAATGAATTTTGAGGCCACCCCGGGAAATTCATTAAAGTCTAATCGTGCTCACCCTCCCTTCTCCTTCTTCCCTTTTCCTCTTACTTCCTTTCTACCATGATCTCACTTCAATATCGATTACACTACAATTTAATTTTATTCGTCGACGTCCACCATTTGACGATATTAAACGACAAAAAAGTCAAGGATGAAAGAAAAAAAACAGGTATGTAAAAATACAAAAGACTTTTAAAGCCAAGGGAATGGACTGTAAATTTTTCACAAGCTTCAACTTTTGTAGGAAGTTTTTATTCTGAAGTTTTGTATCGTCTTGGTGTGAAAGATACGATAACGTGACATATTCACTCATCTATAATAAAATTGTAAAGACTTTAGGTCTTTAATTCACAATTCTTGCAGTTAAAAAAGTTTATGTATTTCAAATTATTACGTGCATAAATTTCAAAAGAATACTCTGAAAGCATTTTACTTTAGTGAATAAAAAGTCCAAGAACTTTGAATGAATAAGAATATTGAATAATTATACATTTACTTCGTTGAATGAGGATAATGTCAACTTCATTGTAGACGTTAATCATTTTCATCAACAATGTATGCAGAGATAATTTATTTTGGCTCAATTTACTTATGCTTTTAATTTCAACATTCATTAGATTTTCACTATAGAATCAAAAAACAATTTAAAGCTATCATAGTCAGCTACTTACTACTCAAAAAGAGAGGTTTTTTCCAGTAATAAAATATTAAATTATTCATTTTTAACTTTTCCTCTTTTCAATGTAATAATATTTTTATACATGTAATGAAATACAAAAAAAATAAGTAACGAGAAAAAAGAGTTGACAATTGAAAAATTACGAAGCAACAAAAATCAAAGCAATAATTAATAAATAAAAAAGACAATTCATATAGATTATGTAAGTGTTTGTTTGTCATTGTTCACAAGGCCTGTCAGGAACTGTTGAGGTTAATTATTAGATACTTGAGGCATTTTAGCTTGAGTACTTGACCCCTTGCCACGGCCTTTTATTACCAAACTTGAATCAATTATCCTCATCTCTTCACCATGATGAAAACTTGAGTTTGAGTCACTGATCAAACCAGAGTTAAAATATCATCTCACTATTTTCTCAGTATCTATTTCATTTGTATAGATTGGCATGTAGACAAGGATTCTGAATTCCTTGATCGACTAGAAACAGTTGGAGATCAGGATGTTGCACGATTTGAGGTTTCTCCAGCCAACAGAAAGCTGTGTGGAGAGTTACTTGAACGAACGTTGTGGAAGCATCGAGAGGAAAATATCCGGGATTCCGGGTGAACCGCGTGATGACTCAATTTCGCAAAGACCGTTAAATGGCCCTAGCATGAACGAACCCCTTTCCTCTTCACTTCTCCTTCCACCTACCCTCTCTGTACAGTGAATTCTGTTTTTGAAGGCCAAACATTCTTCGGGGGTCGGCTACACCCTCGCGAGGTTCACTCACTCTTCATTTGAAAATAAATTTCTCTTCGTTCAATAACTTCTCAATATACCTTTCAATCAATTATTCTACTTCACTGACTAATATTATCAAAGTTTCAAAGCTTTCATTAACTATCGACAAAAAAAAAGAAATGAGAAATTGATTGGAACAGTATTATCTTATAAAATTTTATCAGCAATAATTTCTTTATTGATAATTTTTTATTTTTATCATGGGATTAATTTTTTTTCATAAAATGAGCTTGGTGAGAGGAATTAGCTTTTTCCGAACAAGTAACGAATTTTTATGTAAGATCAAAAAAATCTATGAATGAGGCATATAAGTTTTTAAGCTGTGTCTCTAATAATCAATATTTTAAAATTGATATTCATATCACGCATTATTTGTTTTTCATTTATCCCATTTAATATATGAATGAGTGGAATTCTATCTCATTACTTTTAGAATAATTTGCAAGTTAATAGGAGAATCTATGAATTAAACAAAAATTATTTAAAAAACTATGACCCCAATAGACAAGAGTTAAAATTTAACATCAATTTGAACTCAATATATTGTAATACATATTGTAAAATATTTGTATATCACCATCTAATGACTATTAGACTAATGACAGTTTGTTAGTTAACGACGATTGCTTGATGATTAGATTGTTTATAGCAACGAGGAGGGAGTTTGTTTATGTCCAGTTTTTGACTCAGACTTGAGTTGATCGAACGTATTCTTCCTATTTAATTAATAGCTGTCAATCTTCAATAAACTTTTTCTTTATTTATTAATTTTCTGAAGTTATTATTTGGACTTATTTTACAATATATATTGAGTTCAAATTGATGGCCGATTTTAATCTTGTAAAACGTATTTAATCAAGATGTTTGATTTTTAAAAATTATCCAATTTTCTTATTTTTCATGAAATACATTTCTTAAAATTAGTATGTGGTAAAACTTTAAAGATGTTATCTCGTTTGCCTACAGTTGTTCAATTTTTTTAAAAGTTATGTACAGAAATACATGAAATTGTTAGATCATATCAAAAATGTTATTCAGACTATTTTCGTGCTGAAATATTGATTCTACTTTTTTAACAAAAATTATTCTTTCATTCAAGTAAATTTAATTTTGTCTTAACAATTTTCATATAAACAAA